CCCGAAGGCTTTCCAAACCGATTCGGGGAACACATGGTTCGATAGCTTGGCAGGTCTGGCCTCAACGTTCGGCCACATAGGCGCTTCCAAAAAGGCAGGGGGCGGCGGTGATTCGCCGTAGGCGTCTTCGATCCGCCGCCCCCTGTCGATTCATCGCAGGGGTGCCTGGCGTGCTGAATCCTCTCGGTTTTGGTTTCGGCTTTTTTTCCATAAGAACTCCCCCTGGGGCTTCGGCCCATCCCGCCGACCACCTGGAAGGACCCCAATTTTCCCAATTGTTCGTTCAAGATGGCCCAAGATGGTCTCCAAGATGGCCGCGTTGGCCCAAGATGGCCTCCAAGATGGTCCAAGATGGCCTCCAACTCCGCCCAAGATGGTCCAAGACGGCCTCCCATACGGCCCAAGAGATTCCAAGACGGCCGAAGACGGCCCCAGAGGCCCCCCAGAGGCCTCCAAGACGGCCCAAGAGGCCTCCAAGAGGTCAGAGGTCCTCCAAGAGGGCCCGAAGAGGCCAAAATCATTGATTGTCCTTAGGTGTTTTCAGTATTTCCGATTTCGCTGCTTCTCGGCCTTCCGACGACCCAAGACGGCCCACGAGGCCCCCAAGATCGCCTCCACAGCGCCCAAAAGGCCTCCAAGATGGACCCAGGACTGCCCAAGAGGCCCCCAAGACGGCCCCAAGAGGGCACAAAGACGACCCAAGAGGCCTCCAAGACGCCCAAGATGGCCTCTAAGACGGCCCTGGAGCACCCCAAGAGGGCCCCAAGTCGGCCCAGAAGGGCCCCCCAAACGGCTTCCGACTTGTGAGACGGGCCAGGAGCCAACCAAAACGGTCGAAGATGGCCCTAAGATTGCCCAAGACGGCCCAAGAGGCTTCCACGAGGGCCCCCAGGAAGGCCAGAAATGGCAAAAAAACACTGCTTTACCATACGTGTTTGAAGGATTCTCACTGTTGCTTCTTTTCGGCCATCCGAAGGCCCGATACGGCCCAAGAGGCCCCAAAGATCGCCCAAGAGGCCTCCAAGACCCAAAGAGGCCCCCAAGACGGCCCAGGAGGCCTGTAAGACGCCCAAGATTGCCTCCAAGACGGCCCTGGAGCAGTCCAAGAGGGCCCCAAGTCGGCCCAGAGGGGCCCCCCAAACGGCTTACCAAGATGGCCCTAAGATGGCCCAAGACGCCCCAAGAGGCTTCCAAGAGGGCCTCCAGGAAGGGCCGAAAAAGCCAAATTCATGGATGCCCCATGAGTATTTGAAGGATTGTGGCATTTGCGTTTTGTTCGGCCTTCCGGCGGCCCGAGACGGCCCACGTGCCCCCAAAGATCGCCCAAGAGGCCCAAGACGGCACCAAGAGGCCCCCCAAACGGCCCAAGAGGCATGGAAGACGCTCAAGATGGCCTCCAAGACAGCCCAAGAGCCCTCCAAGACGTCCTCCAAGAAGGCCCGAAAGGGTCAAAATGGCCTCAAGACAGCCAAGATGACCTTCAAGATGCCCACGTGTTCCCCGAAGGCGTTCCAAACCGACTCGGGGAACACATGGTTCGATAGCTTGGCAGGTCTGGCCTCAACGTTCGGCCACATAGGCGCTTCCAAAAAGGCAGGGGGCGGCGCTGATTCGCCTTCCTGGAGGCCCAGAAAAAGGCAAAACAAAAGTGATGTTCCTAAAGGTTTTTGGAAGATGTTGACAGTTGCTTCTTTTCGACCTTCCAACGGCCCGAGACGGCCCAAGAGCCCCCAAAGATCGCCCAAAGATCGCCCAAGAGGCCTCCAAGATGGCTCCAGAACGGCCCAAAAGGCTTCCAAGACGGCCCCAAGACGCCCCCAAGACGGCCCAAGAGGCCTCCAAGACGCTCAAGATGGCCTCCAAGACGGCCCTGGAGCACTCCAAGAGGGCCCCAAGTCGGCCCAGAGAGGCCCCCCAAACGGCTTCCGACGGCGTCGGACGGGCCAGGAGCCCACCAAAACGACCGAAGATGGCCCCAAGATAGCCCAAGACGGCCCAAGAGGCCTGCAGGAAGGCCCGCAAAGGTCAAAATCATTAATGCCTCATGAGTTTTTGAAGGGTTGTGGCATTTGCGTTTTGTTCGGCCTTCCGACGGCCCGAGACGGCACAAGAGCCCCCAAAGATCGCCCAAGAGGCCCAAGACGGCCCCAAGCGGCCCCCAAAACGGCCCAAGAGGCATGGCAGACGCTCAAGATGGCCTCCAAGACGGCCCTGGAGCACTCCAAGACGTCCTCCAAGAAGGCCCGAAAGGGTCAAAATGGCCTCCAGACGGCCAAGATGACCTTCAAGATGCCCACGTGTTCCCCGGAGGCTTGCCAAACGGATTCGGGGAACACGCGGTCCGATAGCTTGGCAGGTCTGGCCTCAACGTTCGGCCACATAGGCGCTTCCAAAAAAACAGGGGGTGGCGGTGATTCGCCGTAGGCGTCTTCGGTAACGCCCATGTCTTAATGTGCGCTGATGATTCTTATCCGCCCACGCATGATGTTCCCTGATGCGCCAAGGCAGCGCCGAGACGCACCGACGCGACTCTGATGTAACACATTCGGATAAAGAGGGGGCCGGCGGCAGGGGGCGAAGTCCTTACGGATAAGGAATCCTGACCAAGTAATCCTTCATAGGGAAACCCTAATAAGGAATCCAACACCAGCAAGCATGTTAAGACTGCTCGCTTTCATAACCTCGCGTGTCACTCAACACGTATCTCCTATACCCTCGATGCCCACCCTCTTCGTCTTCGATCGTGCCCCCCTTGGGGGCATACCTCCTTACCTGCCACGTGTAGCTGGCGCAGGCCCTAAAACAGGGGCGCACGTCAATTGGAGGTCCCTCAGTTAGTCCCTCGTGAGCGCCGCATGGCGGATAGAAAATTGGAAGGTGTAGCTGCCATACTGATGTGGAGACTCGATCAGTGCAGCGCGTAATTTATGCTAGATCGAGTAGGCGAGCGCCACCAGATCATAAGCTACATGAGTGTTCAGGTCAGTGTCTTGATATTCCTCCGCCGTCCCCAAGCCAAGCCAGAGGAAAGGGGGAGCGGTGGGGATGAAAAGACAAGGAAGAGCAAGCATGTGAAGCAGACGGGGGCAGGAGAGGTACTGGGGGAACGAGTCGGGGCAGTCTGGGCAGTCAAACCTGCATGGTATAGGCGTGAGGATATTCACTCGGTGGCTCGTGATCCACGCACCCGTGAGCGTCTTCAGGTGGGCCCACACCTTAGCTGGCGCTGACTTCATCAGCACCGCTCGGAGGGCTAGCCACCTAGCGCGGGTGGAAGCTAGCGAAGGGCAAACATCAGCAGGAAACCACGTGCACAGCCGAGCGTGGATGCGCTCATGGAAGCGGTCTGGATAGACCAGCGCGGTGAGGCGCTGTATGAAGACGCCTTGCGGCCGAGCTTTCTTCCCTCCCCGACGACGACGACCCCTCCCGAATCCGACCCCCCCAGGAGGAGCCGCCGAAGCCGCAGCAGGGATGGCCTCCCGTGCGGCCGCGCAGGCCTGGAGCAGAGGTTCAGGAGGGAAAGGGAGGTCACGGCAGGTGGCGAAGAGGCGATAGTATTGGAGGATGCCTTTCTCATTAAGCCAGCACTTCGCTGACAGCAATTGTTTGCGAACTCGCATGTGCAACCCGTGAACGTCGACGCCCTCCCACCACCAGTCAAAGCTCTCCGCCCAGCCTCGAAGGGTGCACACGCTGGCCCGCCATGCATTCGCAAGGGCATACACCCGTACACTCGTGATGGTGGCCGCTTTCAGCCAATTCTTCCTAAGCGAAGGAGCTCGGCGGCATGCGTAACAGCTTGTGCAGTGCATAATATTCTTTCTTCAGTATTTCTGCACACAGCGGGAAGAATTGAGCAAGATATCAGAGAACTGACAAAGCCGTGCACTCATACAAGCGAATCGACGCATCATTTGGGGATCGACTACTAGCTATCATGCGAACACGAGTCCACCATTTCTGCCCCGCCTCGTGCCACTGAAGCGACAGGGTGGCGGCGGGCCCAATCAGCACCCCCAAGTATTTCGCATAGCCAGCGATCCTCACATTCGACCAGGCTGGAACAAGGCTCGCAATGATGGCAGCATACTGTGTGACATCTGTGACGGTGCATTCAACGGCTAGCGGAACGACTACACACTTCGCTGTCTGGAGCATGAGGCTTGCTAGCTTCTGGGCATTTTGGAAGGTTTTATATAGAAGTGGAAGCAGCATGATCTTGTTTAAAACCACACCTACAACATCGGCACATGCTCCCTGAGTGGCGTCCTCTTTACTGGGGAAGGGGCGGACGAGGTGACGGAGGAGGGGGTCAAAGCCCAAGGCCCAGAGGGAGCCAGAAGGGGACACCCTTGGGGCACGCCTGAAGGGAGGCCCTAAAACAGGGGCAAGCGAAGGAGGCAGGAAGAGACACGGGGGAGGGAGAAGGATGGAGCACAAAAGAGACTTGCAGGACGGGGTCCGGATCAGGAGGGTGGCCTGATTCGGGTGAGGGTCAAATTTGAGCTGGTTTGCTCTTCCATGCCTGGTCTGGCGGGAGACTCAAACTGCTCGCTGGGAATGGTGACCTGCGACGCTCGGAACTCGTCCGGCTTCCCGCCCAGAGAGCTCCCGGCACCCGGCACGGGCCCGAGGCGGCCTGGGGCAGCGGAGGACGTCCTCCAGGCGGCCCCATCCAGGCGCCCAGGAGGACACCCAGACGCCACGGGGACAGTGTCACCACGGCTCCCACAGTGGCCCAGGATGGCCTCCTAACGGCTCCAGCCCTAGCCAGTTCCAGAAACACTGACTCGACAAAATTGGCACTGCTTTGGAGCACTTTGGGGCTTTCGCTGGCTTCTGCCGGCGGCCCCGCCGTCGTTTTATATACTTACGCCAGCCTCCGCTGGTTTTCCACCGCCTTCCGCCGAGGAAGCGATATCAACTCCTCGATCTCTCGAAGAAGAGGCCCCTTCCTGGAACGGCTCAGGGAGCCCAAAATGCATCCGACATGGTTCCGCGATGATGATTAGACTCAGGAGCCTTCGAATCAAGATGTGAACGTGGCAGAGGCCCCTTCCAGAAAGACCCCGCAAGACCCCCACGAGCTTTGGCGATACCACCATCTGCGCTGGATCGACGTCCTCCCACGCCACAAGGGTGCCCTCCTCGCAGGTCAGGCACTGTGGCGCGCCGCCGTCCACCCTGGCCTTGGTGTCCGCCGTGTTGAAGCACGTGCAGCCGCACACCGCGTCGGTAGGGCCGGTCGGCGCGAAGGCGTCGGATGGGCAGCCAGGGTGGAGGTACTTGCCGCCGCGAGTGAGAGCTCTGCTCTGTGACGTAAAGAACAAAAAACAGCATAAGTATTGAAACCAGCGTGGGCCGCAAACAGTGAGATGTGACACTGTGGGGATGCAAGGTCTGTAGTGTGATTCACGGGTTGTAATGTATGTGATGGGAGCTGCGAGGTGTACGGTATGCGGCGCAACCTACGCGGCGCAATCTATGCGGTGTGCAAGCTATGTTATGTAAGCTATTCAGTGCAAGCGCTCTTGTATGAGCCACGAGTTGGCCGCGAGGCGGCCACAGGCGGCGACGCGGCGAAACCGCGATATGCGGTGCAGTAAACATGGTTCAAGGTAGAGGAGACCACGGGCGGCAACGTGCCGAAACCTCGCAGACACGCCTGGCGCACAAGGCAGCCACGAAGCGGTCACAGGCGGACGAGGCGGCCACGATGCGTCCACAGGCGGCAACATGGCGGAACCTCGCCGGACACACCCAAATCACGAGGCGGCCACGAGGCGACGACGGGCGGCACCGTGGAAATCCCTCGACACACCAAGGCCAATGTGAGGTGTCAGTCGTTGCACTATGGATGCGTAAGCCATGTGATGCAAGCTATGCGGTGCAAGCTGTGGTGCAACTTACACGGTGCAAGCTGCGTAGTGCAAGGGATGTGGTGCAAGCTATACAGTGGAAGCTGCATGGGGCAAGTTATGTGGTGTTCATGCCGTGGTGCAGTGTACGTGGTGCACGCTGTGCGGTGCAAGCTGCGTGGCGCAAGAGAAGCGATGCAAATTACCAAGTGGCAGCGGGCGGCAGCGGGCCGGAACGTGGCGAATCCTCGACGGGCCCACGTCAGCGGCAACGGGCGTCAAAGGGTGGCAACGGGCGGGAACGCACCCACACAAGCGGCAACTGGCTCGAAGATGTCAGCAAGCGTGGACCCAAAATAGTAAATAGTGTGTGTGTGTGTGTTTGTGTGTTCAAGCGTTCAAGCAATATATATATATATATATATATATAGATTGTGCAATCTCTGTGGAGCAATCTGTGGCGCAATATATAACATACAAGATATACAGTGCAGTCTATGTGGTGCAACTGATTTTTACCCATGATTTGACACATCCCACGCTCTTGCAAACATCCCACCCACCCACCCGCAACTTGGTTTGCAAAACCTCTCAAGACCGACTACGACGACACCGACGACAACGACTACGACGACACCGACGACGTCTCCGACGACTTCGACGACGACTGACGCCGACGCCAACGACGACGCCAAAGAGGACGACGACGACGAACACGAGGAAAGACAGAGGACGACGTAGGCGACGACGACGACGACGACGCGGGAGGAGGGAGGACGGCGACGACGACAACGACGACGACGACGCAAGAGCGCGCGCGCACGCTTTTGTTGAAAATCCGTGTTACGAAACCTTGTGTTTTTGTTGGTTCTTGGGACACACGATTTTGAAATCCTTCCGAAACCGATGGGTTTTGAAGGATTTCGGCATACGCGCGCGACGACGCGCGCGTCTGCACTTCGTTCCGTTTTTTGCAAGGAGGATTCTCGCGACGGCACACGCGCAAGGGCATTCGACAGATTTCGGCATGCGCGCGCGAAGCCCGTTTGGTAGCATTTTGTGAAAATCTTGAAACACCTATGGTTGTCTAAAGATTTCGCAAGAGCTCGCGCGTAAGCTTTTTTAGCATATCAGTGTTGCGAAACCCTGTGTTTTTGTATGTGTTTTGGAAACTCGATTGCGAAACCCTTCCGACGCCGAAGGTTTTTGAAGGCATTCGGCATGCGCGCGCGACGACGCGCGCATGTGCACTTCGTCCCATTTGTTGCGAGGGATTCGTAAAACAATCTTATGTTAGAACAAAAGATGTCCCCGCGTAGTGTTTTTTTACAAGGAACCCTCAGGGGGCCGATACTGGTTCCCCGGGGATAGTGTAAATTAATAGTTAGGATGGACATGTAGTCAGAATTATATGATTGACATACCCGAAAGGGGTGGCGGCGAACGCTGGGGGGTGGGGTAGAGTCTACTCTCTTTTTAGAAAGGAGGATCTATTAGGTTAGAGAGGATAATATAGTTGGTCTGATCTATGTCATGGCATCTATGTCGTGGTACATATACCGCGCGATCGATAGTGTGCAGCTTATGTGGAACACTACCTATGCATATATATATGATGTAGAAACACTATGTGTGTATATACATGTCGGGCAGTATATGTGGAACATATGTGGTGCATTCTATGCGGTACAATCTGCGCAATTCAGTTCATCGTGTGCAGTCGTGGTGCATTCCATGTGGTGCAATTGATTTCTGTTCGCAATGAATTGTCCACTCCACTGCTCGCGCAAACATCCCACCCACCCACCCGCAACTTGGTTTGCAAAATCTCTTAAGACCGTGACGGTGGGTACCAAATGGCACTTGGCAACGACAGCGACGCCGACGACGACAGCGACAACGACGACGACGACGCCGCCGACAACGACTACGATGACACCGACGACGTCTCCAACGACTTCGACGACGCCGACAACGACGACAACGACGGCGACACCGACGACGACGACAACGCCGACGCCGACGACGACGACGATGATAACGACGACGACGATGACGACGCTGACGACGACGACAACGACAACACCGACGACGACGACGACGTCAACGACGCCGAAGACGACGACGACGCAACCGACGTCGACGACGACGAGGACGACGACGACGCCGACGCCAACGACGACGACGAAGACGACGACGACGTCGCCAACGAAGACGACGACGAGGGAGGAGGGAGGACGACGACGGCGACAACGACGACAACGACGAGGGAGGAGGGAGGACGGCGACGACGCGAACGACGAAGAAGGAGGAAGGACGGCGACGCCGACGACGACACCGACGAGGGAGAAGGGAAGACGACGACGACGACAACGACGACGACGACGACAACGACGGCGACGAAATAGGAGGGACGACGACGAAAGGCAGACGACGGACGACGACGACGACGAGGGAGGAGGAGGAAGGACGACCACGGCGACAACGACGACGGAAACGACCACGACGCCGAAGAGGACGACTACGACGAACACGAGGAAAGACAGAACCGTAGGCGACGACGACGATGACGACAACGCGGGAGGAGGGAGGACGGCGACGACGACGACGACGACGACAACGCCGCAGGAGCGCGCGCGCACGCTTTTGTTGAAAATCCGTGTTGCGAAACCTTGTGTTTTTGTAGGCTTTGGGACACACGATTTTGAAATCCTTCCGAAACCGATGGGTTTTGAAAGATCTCGGCATACGCGCACGACGACGCCCGTGTCTGCACTTCGTTCCGTTTTTTGCAGAAAGGATCTTCGCGACGGCACACGCGCAAGGGCGTTCGACAGATTTCGACATGCGCGCGCGCGAAGCCCGTTTGGTAGCAGTTTGTGAAAAATCTTGAAAAAAAAACAATGGTTTTCTTAAGATTTCGCAAGAGCTCGCGCGTAAGCTTTTTTTAGCAGATCAGTGTTGCGAAACCCTGTGTTGTTGTAATGTGGTTTCGAAACTCGATTGCGAAATCCTTCCGAAACCAAGCGGTTTTGAAGCATTTCGGCATGCGCGCGCGACGACGCGCGCGTGTGCACTTCGTCCCATGTTTTGCAAAGGATTCGTGAAAAAGTGCTATGCTAGAACAAAAAATGTCCCCGCGTACCGTTTTTTACAAGGGAACCTCAAGGGGGGGGAACCCGGCTGGCCTGGGACATTGTGATTTCATATTCAGGATGGACATGTGGTCAGAATCATCTGTGATTTACATACCCGAAAAGGGGTTGAGATAACGCCTGGGGGAGGGTTGAGTCTATTATTCTCTTTTTAGAAAGGAGAATATGTGTTGTGCAATCTGTGTAATGCAATCCACGTCGTACAATATATGCGGCGCAGTCTATGTAGTGCAAGATACGTGGTGCCATATATACATATATATATGTATGTGTGTGTATGCGGTGCATACTATGCTGAGCAACTTATGCGAGGCGGTGACGGGGTGGCGACGGCGACGACAGAACGGCCACGGCGAGCACGAAGCCGCCAGACCGCCACCCAGGCCCAGACGACGGGCGGCGACGAGGCGGCGACGGGGCGGCGACGGCGATCACGGAGCCGCCAGACCGCCACCCAGACCCAGACGACGGGCGGCGACGAGGCGGCGACGGAGCGGCGACTGGGCGGCGACGGCAAGCCAGACCACCACCCAGGCCCAGACGACGGGCGGCGACGAGGCGGCGACGGGGCGGCGAGGGGAGCACGGAGCCACCAGACCGCCACCCAGGCCCAGTTCCCTAGACCAGAATTAAGAATCCCTGAGTGCAAGCACTGTGGGGGGGGAACAAGTGATAGACCCCGAATTAAGTGGACGCACTGTTTGGGGAATGAAATTCCGGAGCTCGTGCGGATTTCTCAGATCGGCGCTGGACAGCCCTGGCGGCGCCTCCAGCGCCGATCCAAGAAATCAGCGCGGACCTCCAAAATGTTGTGCTCGCTGCTTTCTCTTCCTCGATGAAGACTCGATCAGGCCCTCCTCCCCCACGGCGTCCACCTCGTGGCCTTCCGCGGACGACGAAGAGATCTACAAGCGATACAAAAAAGCGGCGCCTGCTGGGAGTTGCGACCGATGCTTAGTAAGAGCACGTGCCTGACAGAGAGATGAGGAGCGTACAGAGCGAGACTCGCACAGCCATCCTCAACAACCAGAAAGGGCGTATCCCATTGTGCTCTGCAAGCTGGCACCGCGATCATCGAGTCGAATGGTCGCCACGCGATCACAATGTGATCCATCCATTTGATGTGCTGACTGCCCATCCGATCGAGAATTAGGTCGGAACGGAACGTGCGTCGGATCGGGCTGCATCGGCACAAGGATGTACAGCTGAGCCTTGCAGGCATCGAGACGCATCGGATCGTCCGAATATCGGGCTCGGATCGGCTCGAACCGGGCGCAATCGATATCGACTCTGACCGATCTGGTCGATGTGGACTTTGCTTCCGTGGCCTTCACGTTCGAGGCCGACGAACGTCTGCGGGCGCGAGGCCGCCGCCAGGCAAGCACAGATGAGGAGCCCAGCTGCCGCCGCTGCGGACATCATCCGACAGAAGGCACAAACTTCAACTTTTCAAACAACTTGTATCACGATCTGTCACTCTTTGAGCCGTTAAACGTCTTACACCGTGGAATCCTGTTCTCAAGACTGCTCACTATCGCCTGGCACCGCAGTACTATTTCGAGCTGTATTGGGCACTGCACGGCCTGAAGCTCGAGGGGATCCCCTGGCAGGAGAGGGGCACTCAACAAAAACTACGGGGTTCACCACAGAGCTTGCTAGTGATCGCGCGCATGGGGTGTGTGGTTTCTGCCATCTGCAGACGCCTCAGCGCGCAGGCGCGCACAAAACATGCATCATGAACTCGCGCGCATCCGTGTGCGCGGGCGAGCTTGCAGCAGCAACGGACAGGACTACCACCCGTTCTTTCCACCACCAGAGCCACGTGCACACATGATACACAGACTGACCACTCTGTTTCTGCACAACCCGCTGCATCTGAACTCCAAAAATTACGAAGAGGAGTATTGCTGACCACCCTCTCAACAGCGTTCTCCTCCTTCTATACAGTACAGTAGGGGCCCGACCACAAGAAACCTTCCGCAAGAAACCCAACCCTGAGACCCCAGGGCGTCCATTGATTTTTGGTATGGGAGCGTCACGCTTTCCATGGCAAAACCATCGAAACCAAAGAAACCCAGAGCACCCTGGAGGCGAGCAGGGTGTCTCCTGGCATGGGCCCCCACTATACACTGACGTGCAGGCCTCGGCTCTCGCACCCCTTCCTTGCCAGGGGAAGTCGTCCTGCTCAGACTGTGCCCTGGGGCCCCCGACGCTACAACAAAGATGATGTTGCTAGAAAGTGCTCGCTCTTCCCTGCCCACGCGCCCCCCAACATGTCTACCCTGACCCCTCGACTCCCCGCCCTCTTCGTCTGAGCGCGTACCTGCTTTGGGGGGGGTCCTTGCTTCGTGCTAGCTACTGTGCAAATCCCGACAGGGTGGAACAGGCATCGGGCGGGCGGACCCTGACGGGCGGGCGGGTGTGCCCAAACGGGCGGGTCGGGCGGGCAGGACATCAAAGCGGGCGGGCGGGCTGCCCAGCAAGCGAACGGGCGGACCCGAACGGGCGGGTCGGCGGGCAGGACATTGAAGAGGGTGGGCCGGGCGAGCGGACCATGACGGGCAGGTGGGGCGGGCGGAGCGTTAAAACGGGCGGTCGGGCGCGAACGGGCGCAAGCAACGGGCGGGCCGCGGCCGCGCGGGCGGCCGAGGGATGAGTGAGGAGGGGCAGGGGGGAGGAGGGAGGAGGGAGGGGGGAGGGGGAGGGAGGATGATGGTGACGATGATGCTGGTGGCGATGGCATCGTGATGAGAATCAGGAGGAGAGGCCCTGCAAGCGAGCTGGGCCCAGCGCTCCTGAATCTCCGGCGGGCAGCCTCTGAGCTCCTCGGCAGCCTTCTCGTCCACGCCGCTGAGCACCAGGAACTCCTCGACGCCCGCGAGGGCCTCGACGGCGCTGGCGATGGTGCCTCGCAGGGCTGCGAATCGAGCAGTGGTGCAGCACGGCCGGGTCACGATAACGAAGGATGCAGGAACCTCGGGCGCCCAAGTGGCCCGTGACCAAGGGTCACAGTCATCGTGCCACCGTGAGGAACGCTGAATGAGGAACGAGGGCGCTCTCTGGCCACCACCAGTCTCGGCCACGAAACAGGTTCTCTGACCCAACACTAAGCAGCGGCCCGACAACCAGGGCCCCTCCTGCGCCCCAAGTGACCCTTCTATCAGCGTCTTGACTGCAGGATGGGCCCAGAGGCAAGGATGCAAGGGTACCCTTGGGGAAATGCTCATCCTCATCATCCCGTCGGACTGCACCGGCACCCCTCATTCCTCCCTCCGCCCCCCTCCTCATCCGATGGCCTTCCTCCGGTCTGGGACGAGGAGGGGGGGAGGAACGAGGTGGAATCCGTGTAGTTGTTCTCCCCCGAAGGGCGCAGGAGCGGCACGCCAGCGGCACCGCAAGGAATCGAGGATCGCGAAGTTGATGGGGGTGGACGCTCTCTAGGCGCCTAGGCGCTCGCTGTGGCCCCTGAAGCCTCTGGTGACCTCCGCGGAGGCCTCGGTAACGCGCGTATTGGAGAGATGCTTCCACACTCTTTTGCAATCATATAGGCTCAGAAGAACCCCGCAAGGAACGAAACGTCAGGCTGAGAAGGACCAAAAACTGAGTCGAACGTGCTTCGCCGTCCAGCTTGGTCGTGCTAACTTGATTGAGGAAGACCTCTTGGGACATCTCGGGGCTTCTGGAGGCTTCCGCGAACCTGCTGGGGGCCTCCTGGGATCGCCTGGGGGCCTCTGGGGCCGAGCCCTCTCGCAGGGTCAGCACCATGTGCCACGGCGCGAGGAATCATCGCGATCACCGTCGTCGCAGGCGAGTGCGAGGAGGAGGTGACGGAAGCGGAAGGGGGGGAGCTCAGGCGGCGCGGTCTTCAGAGAAGACAGCGTCTATGCCGTGAGATGCGATAGCAGAGGCCTCGGCATCTGCAACGTCTACGTATACAATTTAGTTTAGATATGTAGATGTAATCATAGATGTGTGTAAGCATGTGTTTGTATGTGTATAGACGCCCCCCGGCCCCCCCCCCCCGCCAGCGACCCCCCAAAGCGCTCAAAGCACGAAGCCGCCGAACCGGTCATTTCACGAAGCTGCACAGTCGCTTCGCTCATTCGAATAAATGCTTGCACAACTCATTAGGCGGTGGCCCTGGCTGACGAACGGCTTACCACAGGCACCCTTACGAAGGAGTCCGTTTCCAAGGATTACATACTAAGGAACACTTTGCGCAGGCATCCTGACTAAAAGCTCATTGCTACAAGGAGTCCTTACTCGGTGTTCCCTAATGGAAGAAACCTGACTAAGAATATTCGACTGGAGGAGGTATCCTGACGCAGGAGTCCTCACTAAAGAAATCCGAGATCAAGAAAAACATGTCTACGGACTCCTCACGCGGGCCTTCGGTGACACGAAAGAGTGTGCATGATTGGTTGTGTTTGTTTCTGTCCTGGGAAGCAACGGAACACTGTGTATGTGTGGTTTGCCTTGTTGATGTTGCCTTGGGAGGCTCCAGTGCTCACCGCGGCCTTCCCCCCAAAACCCCTCTGAGTCACCAGCGACAGCAATAACAATTTGAGTATGTTCGCTCTTACCTGCTCGCATGCCACTCAACACGTATATCCCGAACCCTCGATACCCGCCCTCTTCGTCTTCGATCATACCCCCCTGGAGTGATTCCTTGCCTGCCGCATGTCATTGGCGGAGCCACTAAAACAGTGGAAGAGAGAAGATGGAAGGGGGAGGGAGAAGGATTGAGCACGGGATTAGCAGGAGGGGGGCTAGGAGCAGAAAACACGTGGCCGAACCAGACGGGCCCATCGGGCGGGTAGACCCTAACGGGCGGGGCGGGAAGGCGGGCCCAGGCGGCCAGGTCGAGCAGACGGGTTGCTAAAGCGTGAGTATTGCGTGAATCGCGAGGAGGTATCGTGCGAGAGTGCGACTCCCCACGGAATCGCGAAAAAAATTGAGCGAGAGCGTGATTCTGGAGCGTCGAGGGCGCGGCGTTTGAATCAATTGCGAAAAGTCCCACGCGAGAGCGCGATTCCTACATTCATTGTTGGGAGGTCCCGCGCGAGAGCGCGATGTCTCAATAACATGTCAGGATGTATCAGGCGGGAGCAGCTGTTATTGTAAACAGGGGGGCCAACAGCATAGTTTGGTGACCCCACAGGGACAGCAAAATAATAAAAACAAGGTGCGAGCCAAATGAAAAACATGATGATAACCGGGCAGGGGATATCAAGAGTAATAACTCTGTAGACATGAGAATCCACCCACCATTTTACCCGAATGCCCTGTGATTCTATATGCAGCATGCATCCATCATAATAGCTCCTCCTCATGGGGGATTTGTTATTGCGCAGGGGGTCCGACATTCCCTTACCCAGATCTCCCGCCCGAAGATGTCTTGACAACACCTCTTCCGAGGCACCTCAACATCTCCAGCCCAGATGGCACATCGCCTTGGCAATCGCTCTGCCCATGCCTTGCTTCTGGGTGTCACCACGCCCGAGTGGCCTAAAACCTCTGGGAGGGGCCCCACAACCTCTGGGACAGCCCCAAGAGCCCCTTGGACAGCCTCTGGAGCCCGTTGGAGAGCCCCCAGAGCTTTTTAGAGAAGCTTCAAAGCCCCTGTGGGACACATGAGGGCCACTGGGAGGCGGTTCAAAGCTGAGCTGGAGGATTTCGGGACCTCTTGAAGGAGGCGTCAGGGCATTTTTGGGAAAGGCCTGGATCGGAGGAGCTTCTGGGCCCCAGGGCGAGGAAGAAGAGGAGGGAGCAGGAGGAGGCTGGAGAGGGAGGAGGAAAGACGAGGGGGGAGGATGAGGACGACGACGGGGTTGCCGCCGTGGGCTCCCGGGCCGCCGCTGGCACGCGGAGCGCGCCAGGGAGGCACAGGTGCAGACCTCCGAAAATGCTGCTGCATTCTTGAGGATCGGCACTGGGGGCTAAGGAAAACCCCATGGCCGCTGGGAGTCTTGAGTGAAAGCGAAGGAAGTATCGAGCGGGAGCGTCTTTGCGGGGGGTGCCGTCTGCGCGCCGAGGCGGGACCGCTGGTCCTGAAAAGAAACAGGGAGGTATCGAGAGGAGCGCTGGTTTTGTCGGAAAGCCGGCTTTCGGCGTCGAGTGAGTTTTCAAACGAAGCGCAGCTGGCGCCGAGGCGAGAGCGCCAGGGCGGATGTTCTTTTAATAATTCAGGTTCGACAGGGACTAGGAAAGCCTCAGGGCGTCTGGGGGTCTTCGAAAAAAGTGGAGGACGTATCGAGCGGGAGCGTCGTTGTTTGCAGGTGGGGCCGCTTGCGAGGCGGGAGCGCCAGCCCTGAGTAAAAAACAAAAGAGTATCAAGAGGGAGCGCCGGTTTTGTTGCAACACCTGCTTTGGGCGGCGAGCAAGAGCCCTGGTCCCAAGTAGAGGAGGAAATGTCGAGCGGGAGCGTTGGTATTGTTGGGGGGGCGCTTCGGCAGCCCCCAGAGACGCCAGAAAGTGAGCCTCATGTTCAAAGGAAATACAGCTGGCGCAGCGAGAGTGCCAGGGGGCCTGTGGGTGACCAACAATGAGAAGTGTTCCGCTAGTAAGATTGAAATAGGAACCACAAGCACCACCACAACACACAAAAACTGCAAGCAACAACCACAACCACAACCACAACCACAACAACAACAGCAACAACAACAACAACAACAACAACAGCAGCAACAACAACAACAACAACAACGACAACAACAGCAACAACAACAACAACAATCATTTTAAGACTGTTCGCCCTTATCTGCTCGAGTGTCCAATAACGCGTATTTCCCAAACCCTCGTTACCCGCCCTCTTTGTCTTCGATCGAACCCCTTTTGGGGGGTAAACCTTTCTTCCCTGCAGGACGGGCCCCGGCAAGCGGCGGGGCGGCCGCGGACCGTCGGCCTGGCCAGCGGCAGCGCTGATCGGCGGGGCGGCCGCGGACCGTCGACCTGACCCCAAGAGGGACAGACAGGGGATTGACCACGACGACGACGACGACGACGACGACGACGTCGACGACGACGGCGACGACGACGACTACGGCGACGACGAGCGAAAGCGAGAGCGAGAGAGAACAACAGCAGGGCCACGAAGGACACGAAGTAGGCCACGAAGGGCGACAGCGGGGACACGAAAGGAATGCGTATGGGGCCACGAAGAGCGAGAACGAGCGGGGGCCACGAGGGGCAGATAATGCGGGGCCACAGACGGCAACAATGGAGTCACAGAGGGTAGCAACTGGGCCACGTAGGACAGTGAGGGGGCCACAAACGGCGACAGCGGGGCCACGAAGGGCATGCACATGGGGCCACAACGGGCGCGACTCCTGGGTGCCTGGGTGGCGGGAGCGCGGCGCTTCGCAAATTGCAAGAAATTCCAACGCAAGGGCGCTATTCTTCAGTAAAGTGCAAGCAAGTCTCCAGCGAGAGCGCGACTCCAGAGCGCCGGGAGGGCGATTCCTTAATAAATTCTAAGGAAGTCCCAAGCGAGAGCGCGATTCCTGAATCAAATGCGAGGAAGACTCGGGCGGGAGCGGGGGTCCTGGCTAAAGTGTGAGGAAATCTCAAGCGGGAGCCGTTGTTGATGTAACCCGGGGGCCAGGGGCACAGTTTGAGCATCAAGATTTCCCCTGTCAAGAAACAGAGTGCGAGCGTCGAGGAGCACACTTTGATTTAGAAAAAACAATCTGCACCGGTGAGGGGGGATCAACAATAACTATTCTTCAGAAGTAAGAACTCAACAACAATAACAACAACAACAACAACAACTACAACAACAACAACAACAACAACAATCACAACCACAACCACAACAACAACAACAACAGCAGCAGCAACAACAACAACAACAACAACAACAACCACAACCACAACAACAACAACAACAACAACAACAACAACAACAAC